TCTGTTGAAGTTGGTGATAAAAAATGTTGTAGCTGCTTTGCATGTTTCTTTAAACCTCCAGTGCCAATGCATTCGCAGTTCAAAGAAACTGTATTTCTTTTCACACACTACAATTCAAATAGTGTTATCCTACATTCAGATCAAGCCTATCGGTTCAAACTCATTGGAGGAAGCTTAGTAGACTTGGCATCTGCTTTACTCTTTTGGATTGTGGTGGGCTAGCCCTGGCTAACAGCCAAACTCCCATCCAGCTCCAGAACCTTCATCATCTCAAGCTGAATGTGCAGTTGGAAAGTCTGTGTATATTTGTGAAAGCACAAATGCATGCATTTGTAGGTACGTCTGTAGTAGGGAGTGCATGATATACACAGCAAGACAAATTTTGAGCCTTCCTCCTCCCCTTGCAAAGACCACTTTTTCTGATGCTACTTCTTTCATCACTGAGATCATCCGTGCCATAAAGATAGCTAATAGCATGGAATTAATATTAACATTCTTAACACAGTGCCCACCTAATGTTCTCTGTTTTTTTAAAGAGATTGCCATTTCAGCATTGAATGGAAGTTGTTGATGTGCTATTTTTCAGATACAGAGGTAACGTGATGTAACTGGGCACTGAGATGAAAGCTTATATGGGATAAAATAAATCCCTGCTAATGTCAGCTCCCTTGTGCTATTTTCTGTCCAAATGTAGCAGTTTTATTTATATTTACATAATTGAATGCTGTAGTTGCATTTTTGTCTGTTTGTTTTAATACTGTTTAGAACAGAAACCTGAAGTAAATTTTATTTGAATGCAGTTGTAACTATTCTGATTTTTCAGTAGACCTCAAATAGACAGCAGATATCCTCAGAATGTAAACTCAGAGGAGGAAGTAAGGGAGAATACAGTTGTATTTGTTACCTGGTGCGTGTGTTTTTGTTTTGTTTTTGTTATGGATGTTTACAGTTAGTTCATTATAGAAACTCTCTGGCTAGTGAGGCAGAACAGCTGTGGTTTATCCAAAACCCCTCTAAATTATTAAGCTGCTGTTAAGAAAATGTTTCTGATGAGGTGAGTTTTGAAACATTACTGAATGGAAAAATTGCACCAGTTCCGCTAGAGATACCATTTGCTCATCATTATCTTAGAAATGTTTGTTATAAACTTCTTTTTTCCCAAGGATGCCTGACCCCTCTTGCCATAGCGTGCATTGATTTTCAGGAGGAATAATAGTCAGTGATGTGAATTACTGGAGCTCATTGTTCCTGTTGGTTTGGGGCAGGGGGGGTGATAAGAGGAGGCAGAAGGAAAACAGGAAAATACGATTGCAAAATGATGCTTTGTGAGTCAGTTTTGCTTCGAAAATGAATGCTTTGTCACAGTGGTCTGTTTCTCACACACGCTGTCATTTCTCTCATTCAGCAGTGAACAGATTCTCCCCGCCTCATAATAAGGATTTCAAAACTGATTATGTTACAGACTGCCTCAGAGGTTAATTGAAATCATCTTTTACTTGTCACTTCTGTGGGGATGTGGTATAAGCAAAGGCGTGGTTATTCATTTATTTGTGTAGAGGGAGGGGCATGGCAAGGAGATCTCCAAATTGTTACAGAAAAGAGAGAGAGCTCAGTCTACAAAGTTTGAGAACTTTTGTTTTCACTAGCAAGAGCAGAGTGGTGGCTCTTGTTGCAGGGAGCTGACTTATATTAGGTCCAAAGATTCTCTCCAACCGTCTTAATGGGCAGTCACGAAAGCCACGCTGCATAGGAACACTTGACCTTATTATCATGGCCTTAATTCAGAAAAGCTCTTCAACAACTGATGAAATCTGTCAGTGCAGCATTAAGCATTTTATAAGATACAAAAACTGGGGAAAAAATGGAAGAACCTAGTGCCGTAATCAAACCATTCGCAGTCTTAAGTTGTAGTGAAACACTTCACTGAAGCGAAATTTTCACTTAGGAAAGTGGCTGGCACTAAAGAGTTAAATAAAAAGAATGTCATGCATGTGTATGTGATTCTAAATCCAGAAGTGTTACATTTCCTTTGTTGGCATTAGTTTCTGCTGAATATACAGGATATATATGGTGAAGACTAAACCCTTCTGTTACTGGTCTGAAGTGTTTTAACAGAAGTGTGGCATGCTTGGTTGAAAAGACTGGAAGTTTTAACAGATGAAAGCATATGTGTTTTGTTCTTACTGGATGTTTTTCTGCTTACCCCTTTGAGTTGTATTGACCAGCTTCATTAACAGAAGTTATATCTGGAATTAGACTTTCTTCAGCAAACTGCAGTATGTGGAGTAGTGGTACATGATAGAATTCTGTCTGGAGTGCTTGCAGCAAAAGCGTTTGGTTTTTTTTTTCCCCAAAGTATTAGTTGGCATTTATTAGCAGTGGCTCCAGTCTTAATGGCTCTTGCTGGGGGAAAGGTGGATAGGAAGCTGTTAAAAGGTGCCATCTTTCTGCTCTCATGTGTTAGCAATTCTCTACTTGCTGCTGCTGTGAGAGATGGAATCTAATATTGTCTGAGGGTGTAGACTGAATATTGAATATTCAGAGAAATGCAAACATAATGAGGTATTTCTGCTGGAATTACGTTATTCTTCCTGTGCTTTTTGAGATTCTCCCCATCCTCAACCCAACTATTCAACAGCCAACTCCTTTAGTGGCTATGCTGAAATTTACCCTTTCCCCTTGCAACTGTGGTGAGTCTCCGGGGATTAATGCTTCATGGGAGGGGAGGGCTTGTGCTGGCTTTCTCCAGAGGTACTCAATAGAAAGAGGTGTTTAGGAGAGCTTATGTTTCTTGAAGTCACCTACAAGTCCCTTTGCTTGAGGGAAGCAGATGAGGCATCTGCTCTGCCATTTGTTCCTTTCCAATTAACAGCTCTGTGCTGTTCCCCCTAGAGCCTGTGAAAAGAACAGGTGTGGCTTGACCAGCCAGGAAATTAGGAGAAAGCTTTGTTTAGAATATGTGGCAATAAATATTTTCAGTTGTCATTGTTCACAGCTCTGCAATCTCTATGGGAAGATACTAACTCAAGGAGGTTAATACAGAGCTGTCACATCCTTTTTTTTTTTTTTTTTTTTCCCTTCCCTGCCCCTCCTAAAATTTATACTACTAAAGCAGCATTTTTTCCTTGGTGATTTTTTTTTTTTTATAATTTTCATTCCCACTTTCTTTGTAATTAAGGGCAATTACTTCATAATACCACTAAGATGTATCCTAACAATAACACACATATATTGTATGCGTTGTAAAAGCATAAAAAGATAAAGTAGGAGAAGATGATAGATCTTTGTGTAGAATACTGTGTGTATATAATGGATTTGATACAATGGCAAACCAAATTGCTGGAAAAACAAGGGCAGGTTTGACCATAATTGAAACAGCTATTATTGCACTATCTTTTTTTTGAGGAATAGTTGTTTGAACATTTGCCAGCTGTAATATTGCCTTACATAGGTTTTGTTCATATTATTTAGTACAGGCTGTCTAGTTTGTTGATACACGTAGACTACAACTGTATATTGACAGGAGCAGAGTAGCTATGCACTGGTGATATATAATTCTGTTTCTATTGGCCTTTCTCTTTTAAGTGAAATTGAAATCCTTATTGTTCTTCTTACTTACATGCTTTGTTTTTTATCAGCTGTGAGACAAAATTGAAGGCTTTCTTTGTTATAGCAGATCAACCTTGAAAACTTTATACATGAATTTTAATTTTGCTTATAACAGGTCTTATTAATAAAAAGCATATGTTATAGTTAGAAAAAGGAACATGAAGCATGTGGCCTGTGTTTTGATCTGTATTTTGTCCCTAATTGGATAATTGCTTCCTTGCTTTTCAGTTTGACAATTAAGGATCAAGATGGTAGAGCTGTCCCGTCACTGTAAAAAGCTGGCATAGTTGGGTACAAGGTCTCACGACATTGCAGTGTCTTCTGTATCTAGCATATGCTGGATTCCTGCTACAGAAAATATGGGATGCTTTGGCCAGTAGTGACTTGAGTTGAGCAAATCTAAATCTTGGTGTTTGCTCCGTGAAAAGCCAAGTCAGGTCTAGCAGGATTTACTAGCACAGGCTCAGTGTGATGGTGTTTGTGGGGCCAACTTGTACCTGCAAACAGGTGATGAGAAAGGGCTTTTGTGCAGCAAAGAAACTGAGCTATCTTTTGTGTCCGCATCCATGGCACAGTTAACCCACACCATAGCAAGCCATTCAACTATAACTGAGAGCTGACAAAGCTTACTTTTCATGAAACTCAGTAGTTAAAATTTTGAACTTACTGCTAGGGAGAATTAATTCAAATAAGATCCTTTCGTATTTAGATTTCACTGTCTTTGTCATCTCTTGCTCTATGACTTTTTTCATATAAAGCAAAACTCCTCATGCCTTCCTAGTCTTGCATCGAAGGTGTATCAAACTCTTGCAACAAAATTTAACATCATGCATCAAAAACTTGTCCTCATTCTCTGCTATTGCCAACAGCAACTGTTTGATGCCTTGTCATTGCCAAATGAAGCTAACACACAAATTGCTCTGGTTTCCACCATTAATGCATCTCTTCAGGTCATCCTTTTTCTGTTGTTATCACTAAAAATACAAACATGTTTCTCCTGAAGCAATTGGTAATTATTCAAATAACGTGTGTAAGCACCCTTTGAATAAGGCATATGAACACCCTCTGAAAACAAGACTTCATGTGAGAGAATTACATATATTACTCCTGTCAGAAGCATGACATGCACTGATGTGTTGGAAAATTGAACTGTGCCTGTCCTAAGGGCTACAACAGCTTAGCTTTCAGATTGCAAAGAATATTTTCACGGCTCTGAAGGATTGGAAACCCCTCACCCCTTCCCTTAATGAAAGTGTTAAGTTCTGCAAAAATAGAAGAGACCACCTAAGAAGAAATTGAGATTAGGTGTATCAGTAACTACTGGTTTAACCTAACCTTCATTCAGATTATTTTATTGAAGGATCTGATTAATTATTCTTTTATGTTTACAGGTCTAATTACAACCACATCTAGAAAACTAGATCGAGAGCAGCAGGGAGAGCACATACTGGAGGTAAACAATTTCTTTAGTTCTCTGAAAAACAATGACTGTAAGTTCCTTGCTCTTTTACAGAGAGTTAAGTTTACCATAGTGATTACTATATGAAAAATGTAGATAACTGGATTTTAGAAGTAATTTACTTCTATGTTTATTATATTGCAATGCACAAAACTACCTATCTCATAAAAATACCATGCTCGGATTTTTTCTTAAAAAAAGAGTTAAGATACGGATAGAATGCAATTTTTTTTTTATACCTGTAAACCAAGATTTTCTTTCAAACAGTACAAAGGCATGATTGTTAGAAGGAGTGAGATTCTTTTTTTTTTTTTTTTTTGTCCTGTGTAATTATTGGAATAGCTATTTCAGCCTTCTTTTGCTGAATATAGACCTGTGAAAAAGAAATGCAGAATCTTTTTTTAACATTGAGAATACAAACGGATTGTGAGTAGATCTTTTTTCTGCTTAACTTATTTATGAAACACATAAGTAGATGATTTGCAAAATATGCATTACAGATTTGGAGTCCAAGAGCATGAAATTCATGACATGATTCTTATATCTAGCTATATTTAATCAATTGCCTGGAATCTATGTAATAGCTGTTCTCATCCTCTGTCAAACAACATGAAAGAAAAACATGTAGACAACTGGAAGTTTTCCAGTTTCACAATGTTGTCATGCAGTGTGACAGCATTGTACTTCACCTGCAATGAAGACTTAATACTCACAGTGATACTTACATACTAAGATTTATCTGGAATCTTTATTGTGCCTCTCCTCCTGGTTGATAGATAAAGGACTGCATGTGAGTCTGCAAAACTAACATTAAAGCTAGAGAAGCAAATCTGGACTTACCCAAAACTTGTGAAATCTGTAGAAGTGTTTTCTAATGGGAATGCAAGGACTGCATAGACTTGGAGGTGAATGGCGTTTCTTGATAGTACAAACTATCCTTTTGCAGAACTTCAGTGTACATACAGTCTTCCTGGCCCTTTTCCATCCCTTTGGTTCATTGCAAGCTGGATTAATGGAGCTGTTGGACCAAATTTTTATCATTATTTTCATTTCTGCATCAGCTTTGGAAAGAACTCTTTGCACATAAGTAGCAATAGGGTGGAATTTGCTCTGTGGTGTGTTTCTAGTAGTAGTAATAGCAAAGTTAGTTAATTGGCAAATCTGGTTCAGTACTAGGCATGTTATTCCTGTAAATTGTAAAGGCACTATATTATTCTCTTATTAAATTACCTCCTTAAATCTGCTTGTGTCAGTTTCCCGAAGCACTTCATGTCAGTTATATCTTATTTCTTGACCACCACTATGTATATTGGTTGTAAAATTGGTATCTCGTGACTTTTACTCCTATGCATATTGTGCTGGCTTTTGTATTAGATTTATACAGTAAATAAAAGGAGCTGTGGATAGTTCTCTGACCCTGAAGCCACCTGGCACAGTATGGCTTTGATTGCTTATACCTTATTCCTGGAACAGGTTGGCCATGTCCAAGTTGCCTGTTGAGAATGGTGTCTGAATTGTGTGAATTCTCAGGCTGCAGCTAGGCGATGTATGGGGGTGTGCTACTTGTTCTGGGCCAAAACTTATGCCAGAGATCACACTAGAAATACCGTGTTATGGGCAGTTGTCTGCTAGCAGTCATGGCTGCTGATTTAACCTAAGTTATTACAAGGTAACATATACAGAACTCAGAAAGTTTTTTTTTAAGGTTACAGTATCACACAATGGTACATAAATCCTCCTGGTTTCAGCATTCTCTATAAAGATAGCAGATTAAGCTGATTGCTCTTTAGTTTGGAATATTGGTTATTCCCGCTGGTATCGTTTGTAATTCTTCATTCTTCCTTCATTTTGAATCCCAGCTGGTTGTTAAAGTTTTAAATAAAAGTCTGTGAAGTATCCAATGGAAGAACTCTTTTAACTACAGAGTGAGAATGACAGACAGCATGGCCCAAAGTAGCAGTTTTCCTATTTGTTAGTTTTATGTTGACACCTTTGAAAATAGGTTGGAAAGAAACCCAGAAATGCACAGAGTGGTGGGCAATGTTATGAGCCAAGTGCTGAGCATCTGGCTAATTAATTGAGCATTGAAATGTTGACCAGATGGGTTGGTGGGTTTATTCCTTGTTTGCTATTAAGTTTGATCCTTGA